CACTCAGGTCATAGTGGCAAAGTGAGGGCTCAGTCAGCACCTGTGACCATTAGTCTCTTACCAAATTGAATTCTAATTGAAGAGAGAGGTAATAAACAAACTCATATGCATGTAATTAGGAAACCCTTGATCCATATGGTGAGTGGAAGGAAGGAAAGGCAAAGGTGCTCAGGGGAAGGCGATTGGAGGAAACATTGATGAGCAAGTGGAGGAAAGGCTGCTCTCGGGGCTAGAACAGTGCAAGCCAAGGCCTCAACGATGGCTAGGAGGTTGGCTTCGAGGTTGGCTTCCTCTAGGCACCGTCAGAAGGCTGCTGTGGCTGAGGTTTCGTAAGGAAAGGGGAACAGGCTCCAGCTGAGCTTGGGAGTGTCAGATACGGCCAGTTGCAAAGGGATGGGCAAGAGAGTGTGGATTTTACTTGAAGTTCAGAGAGGAGGCACCGCACGTGGTGTCTTAGTTCTCTAAACTGCTATAACAGAAATACCACAAGGGGGTGTTTCGAAAGAACAGAAATTCATTTTCTCACAGTGTGGGCAAATCTGCTGCAAAAGACCTCTTTCAAGTGCTGAAGAGCAAAGCTATCCCCTTGAAGACTAAGATGTGCCTAACCCAAGCCATAGTATTTTCAGTTGCCTCGTATGCATGTGAGAGCTGGAGAATGAATAAGGAAGACTGAAGAAGAGTTGATGCTTTTGAGTTGTGGTGCTGGCAAAGAATGCTGAAAGTACCGTGGACGCTAAAAGAACTAACAAATGTGTCCTGGAAGAAGTACAGCCGGAATGTTCCTTGCAAGCGTGAATGGCCTTGTCTCACCTACTTTGGTCATGTTGTCAGAAGGGACCATTCTCTAGAGAAGGATGTCATGCTTGGTAAAGTGGAGAGTCAATGAAAAAGGGGAAGGCCCTCAATGAGATGGACCGACACAGTGGCTGCAACGATGGGCTCAGGTCTAGTAGGGACCATGAGCCTGGCACAGGACCGGGCAGTGTTTCATTCTGCTGTACAGGAGGTCACTATGAGTTGGAGCTGACTCGAAGGCACATAACTACAACAACAACACAGTTTAGGAGGCCAGAAGTCTGACCTCAGGGCTGTGGCTCGAAGGGAAGGCTCTGTCTGTCGGCTCTGGGGCAAGATCCTCGTCCCAGCTCCTGTAACCTTGGAGTTCCTTGTTTCCTTGGCAATCTCTGCATGGCACCTGTCTTTGCCCCAGTGGTGCTTCTCTGTATCTAACGTGCTCTTTCTAAATCTCAAAAGTCATTACAGTGAAGACACCAGACACCGACAAGACTCAGTAACATAATAAGGAAAACCCTCTTCCCAGATGGGATCCCATCCACAGGTAGAGGGGTCAGGATCCCAACACATACTTTGGGGGACACAAGTGAATCCTTAACAGGTGGTGACATGATTTGACTGACATCCTAAGATGACTGTGTGGGCCACTAGGGGGTGAGTGGAGTCTGAAGCAGTCAATCAGGGTAAGAACACCAGTGGCTGGGCCGAGATGGCGGCACGGGGGTGGAGAGAGAGATGTGTTGGAGGCAGAATCCTCAGTAGATTTCGCGCGAGAGGTGAGGGACATATACATAGATGCAATGGCATCATGTTTTGATTTTCTTCAACGCAATCCAGTTGGAGCAGGGAGAAGTGGGAGAAGGGGGCAGTGTGGATGATGGTCAAAGGCGGAAACTGGTCGTAGCACTGGGTGCTGAGTACAAGGGCCTTCTCTGCACCAGTACCTCTACTTTCGTGATATTTGAACTTGTACATAACATGAACTTAAATAATAATAATTATAAAGGACTACCAGACAGGTGTGTTTCTTAAGCACTCAGTTACTGAGATAGAAAAGAGAGAGGAAGAGTTGGGGATGTAGAAAACGGAACTGAGTGGGCTTTCGTAATAGCTTTGACCAGAAGAATGGGGCAGAAATGATGTTGTGTGATTCTAAGATTTAATCATAAAGCTTCCATGCTCTTGGTACCCTTGCCCTGGAAACCCACCTTCCATGTTACGAGGAAGCGCAAGCTACACAAACAGACGAGACCGTGTGTGGGTGTGCCAGTCAACAGCCCTGTTGGCCTCAGCCATTAGCCTGCCTCAGTTTTCAGTCCTGCAAATGAATGAGCCTTCAGATGGTTCTAGCCCCCAGATAGTGTGGGACAGAAATAAGCCAATCCCATCGTGCCCTCTGTGAACCCTTGACCCACAGCAACCAGGAAATAGAACAATGATCATCATTGTTTTAGGCCACTAAATTCTGAGATAAGCTGCCATGTAGCAACAGAGCAAAAACACAAACAAACAACTGTGGCTTAGACAAACTAGAAGTTTCTTTCTTGTTCTTGAAGGCTGGAGTGGGCAACGCAGGGTTATATGGAAGCTCCCAGGGGTCAGCAGCAGCCCAGGGGCTTGTGTCTGGTTGCTCTGCTCTGCTCAGCCCATTCCCAGGATCACCACCTGATCCAAAATAGCTGCCAAAGTGCTGACAATCACAACTGCATTCCAGGCTGGACACAGGCTGACGCAAACAGAACAAAAATGGCCTTCTCCAGTATTGTTTCTATTTCCAGGAGCATTCCTAGAAACCCTTCCAACACCTTCTGCTTCCATCTCATATCCTAGAATTAAGTCACATAGTTATACCATGTGTGCAAGGGACACTTCATGAGCCTCTTAGCTGGGCTCATTGTTCTCTCAAAAAAAACCCACCCTGGGATTCTATTATTGAGGAGGGGAGAGGGCAGTGGGCAGTTGGTGGCTGTGGGTGAACGCAGGACGATGCAGGAGGGAGGTCTTCCCCGTGGGGAGAAGCTGGCGTCAGCACGCTGGCCCTCCCTGCTCGCTGGGCCTTCCTGAATGCAACAGTATTTTCCCTTTGCTACTGAACAAAGAATTGATTTCTCCCCAAAGAACCGAGGCAGTGGGGCTGAGAGGCAGAGGAAGCTCTGGTCTCTAGTCCACTTGCTCCACATGACAAGCAGGCAGTTGGACTTTTGCTAAATATTCTAGCATGTAATCCCAACCATGTCACTGTTCAAACACCTTCCATGGCTCCAGTAGGCCAGAGTTTCAAGGGGTTTAGTATTGAAGGCCTCAGCCAACCTTCCATTGCTCTTTGCTACGACCTCCTCGTCACACTGACCCACTGTTTTGCTGCACATTCCCTGCCTCCGGACCTTTGCTGAGGCAGCTCCCCTGCCAAGAACAGCCCCTCCCGTCTCTGAAATCCCAGCCAATTTCAGCACCTTTCCAAGGCCACCACTAGCCCTTACAGCATCTTTGCCAATTAGAGGAGGGTGTTCTTTCTCCGGGGGAATGCAGTATGCCAGGGCTTGGGGACAGGCGTACAGGCTTGCCCCTCAGCCTAGTGACCTTGAGCAGTGAACGCCCTGCACAACTGTACGTGTGCTGATGCCACTTCCAGGCACCTCTCAGGGCTCCCTCAGTGGGTGGGGCTGTCCTTTGAGCCTTGTCACCTTTCACCATGCCAGCCTGCCCTGATTTGGGGCTCGGTGTTTCTGGCTGTGTCCTCCAACCTCCCTGGGGCCTATCCTCCCCCATGAAACTGCCAACATTTGCCATGGGACTGAACATGCACCACAGGTCACTGTGGGGACCATCATGCCCTTAGTCCCCAGTAACCCCAGACCAAAAAACCCAACCCAACCCACTGCCATCAAGTCAATTCCGACTCATAGTGTCCTCCACTGGGTTTCCAAGGTGATTAATCTTTAAGGAAGTGGATCGTCCCTTTTCCCTTCCGCAGAGCGGCTGGTGGGTTTGAACCACCCACCTTCTGGTGGGCAGTTCAATGCCTCAGCCACTGCGCCACGAGAGCTCCTTCGGCACCCCCAGAAGAGAGTGGAATCCCTCACAGAGCTGCGCTGGACAATGCCCACGGCCAGGTAGAGAGTCAGGAGTGGAGACAGCTGGTTTTGCTCAGAGACTCAACCCTGAGCCTCTGAAGTCCCTAGGCAGGGAGAGTCCCTCTCAGCTGACATCACTCCTGGGAACACAGGAGCCCCACCCGGCATCCCTCAGCATGGCACCCTGGCCCAGGCCACTGTGGTACCCTCGGCCCTCAGGAACACACGTGAGAACACTTTCCACTTCATATCTTTTATTTTATCTGCAGCGTCTCTGCCCCCTCCCTCCCCTACCAGCCCCTGAGAGGGGGTGAATATGCCCCAGTTGGAAGGGAAGGGACTGCTCTCTCCTCCCTGGGATACGGGTGGTGTCTCCCAGGCCAAGCCCCATTGATGGGAGAAGGAAGGGCCTCTGTGGAGGAGCAAGGCCATTGTCCAAGAGGCGAGGCTGAGCCCCTTGGATGCCCTATGGCCCCGGGGTCATCAGGAAAGGGAAGAGCAGAAAAAAGACAAAGCTTAGAGGTGTGTGCGTGGCTGACACAGCAGAAGGGGACTTTGGGAAGGACAAGCTGAGCAGAGACAGGGGAGGTGGGATGGCAGCAGGACCCAGGAGGCGGCCAGACTGTAGGAGGAGAAGCTGCATGTGGCAGGTGCAGGAAACAGTGGGAGGGCAGGGAGAAGTGTGTGCTCGAAGAATCAGGGTCCCAGTGGGGGGCCTCATTCGCAAGATCTGATGGGAACTGTCCCCTGAGGGGTGAGAGGGCAGGCAGGGAGGGCTGTGGCAGGGGAGGGGCATGGTGAACTTTGGCGGGTAGTGGGGCAAGGCCACAGTGACCCCATCACCAGCTGTGCAGCTTCAGGGAGGCCAGCCCGGCTTGGCATGGCCCCAGACCACCAACTTGTGCTTCAGGGTTGCACGGGGGCTCAGCTGTGGCAGGCCAGAGCCCACAGGAGGCCCTCTGCTGCAGGCCCCAGCTGTTCCCAGGACTCCTCTCCCATCCTAGGTGTTCTGGAAGCTTCTTCCCTGCCCAGGGAGCCAGGCTCCCCTGCACCAGTTCATCTACCGTCTGGGGGTGGGACACGTGGTGGGGAGGGACGGTTCATGGCCTCAACGGAGGTGCTGCTGCCCAACCCCCTCAATGACAGTGGGTCACTGTGTGGTCCTCTCCATCAGTACCCCCACCCCCATCCCACCCCACGTGTGTGGCTGGTTTGTTTTCCCCTCTTTAGGACAGTAATTCCTGGGGCATCTCAGCCCAGGGTGGGACGGTGGGGCCGGCCGCTCTGGGCTCCAGGAGGGGTCAGAGCGCCCCCTGCCCGTCCCCCTGGCAGCCGCTATCACCGTGGACAATCAGCACCGGGAAGTACAGGGCGTCCTCGTAGCACGGCGGGCTTTCCAGGGGCTCTGTGTCCTCTCCGCGGCGCCCCAGCGGCCCCCCGCTCAGGCTGCGGAAGACCCCTGGCGTGGCCCGGCCCCCGGCTCCCAGCGACAGGCGGCTGCGGCTGAAGGGCAGGCGGGGCCCGCTGGGCCGGGCCGGGGGCAGCGAGTTGCTGCTGACGGAGCGGCGGCAGCGCTGGCAGCCGCGGAGGTAGGCGCCCGAGCCGGCGCCCATGACCACGGCTTCGGAGTAGCTGGGCACCAGCTGGCGGTTGGAGCAGATATGCCACTCGAGCTCGGTGAAGTCCACCGTGGCCACGCGGGACAGCGGGGGCCCGGGGGGCGCCGCCCCGGGAGGCGGGGAGCTGGCGCCAAAGAGCTTCTCCACCTGGTAATGCACGTGGGCCGTGCCGTAGGCCGCCACCACCCGCAGGGGCCAGGAGAGCGTGGCGGCCGACACGAGCCAGAAGACCCAGGCGCGCGCGTACCAGGGCGGGCTGCGCGGGTCGGCGAAGACCATGAGCGAGTCGCGGAAGTCCACGTCCTTCAGGTGCATGCCCTCGCGGGCCTCCAGGTAGTCGTCCAGGCCCTCGTTGGCGCTGAAGAAGCGCGCCCTCTGCGTGAGGTACGAGGCCTCGGCCTCAGCGCTGCCGAAGCTGAAGCACTTGGTGAAGCGCAGGCGCGTGGCCGCGTGCTCGGTCAGGCCCACGAGCTCCTTGGAGACGTCGCGGACGCCGTGCGCCGAGTAGTCGAACTCGCCCCGCGCCGTGCGGCTGTCGGCGCGCTCGTGGTAGACCTGCGTGGTGGTGTAGGCGTCGCCGTTCCGGTAGCGGGTGATCTGGCGCGTGCGCCGTACGTAGTGGTAGCTGGTGGCCTTCCACCAGACGCAGGGCGGGGCCTGCTGCAGCCGACGAATCAGCGCGAGCACGGTGTTGGCGTCAGTGCGCGGCGCCTGGCAGGACCGCACGTGACAGTGCCAGCACTCAGCCAGGTAGAGGAGGTAGAGGAGGGAGACGAAGGCCAGCGGGATGTACAGGTAGCCATCGGAGCAGGGGCTGGCCGGGTAGGTGGGCGGCGGGCCGCCGGCCCCATGGGCCAGGGCTGCCTCGGGGCCCAGGACCAGCCGTGGCACCGTAGCCAAGCGGCACCAGGCCACCACGGCACCGCAGGCGTGGATGAGGAGCGTGAGAAGCAGGCACTTCCAGTGAGACTCGCGGCACAGGGAGCTTCCCAGTGACTGTTTCAGGGGCCGCTGCTGCAAGATGGGCGGGAGGGGAGGGAGGGACGGTGTCAGCACGGGTCCCAGCCTCATAGGAGATGGGTGCTATGATCCCCCACCTTACAGGAGACTGCGAGGGATCATGTTTAGTGGAGCTGCAAGATTCACGCCCAGGCCCGTCTGCCCCCAGAGCCTGCCCCATTGCATTGTGCCCTATCCACCGCCCAGGGCACCTAGGACAGCTAGACCTATCTCTGCCAGGAGAGAGAAGGACCCCAGACTGCCATTGAGAAACCAGAGTTCTGGTTCCAGCTCTGTCCCTGATTCGCTGTGTGGTCTTGGTCATGTCCCTGCCCTCTCTGGGCCTTGATTCCTGGCCCTGGTGGTCTGGGGGCCAGGGTGGCAGGGGTCAGAGGGGTAAACACATGGGCTTTGGAGCCCAGCTGCCCAGGACCCGGTGTGACTTCACCACTTACTGTGTGGCTGGGGCAGGTCCCTCATCCTCTCTGGGTCTCAGTTTTCTCATCAGTAAACTGGGGTGGTTGTGAGGATTCAAGGAGATCGTATGTGTGAAGATCTGAGCACAGGGTCTGGCCGTGGGGATAAATATTGTCACTGTTACCCTGCAAACCCCTCTGGTCCCTTGGCTCCACTAGAGTTGGCAGAGACTTGGGTGAGGCTTTTAAGTAAGTGAGAAAGAGGAAGAGCTGGGAGCGGGGGAGGTGTGAGTCTTGGGGAGTGGGGAGCAGATGGAAGGCCGTCCTCCACTCCCCATCTGCGCTGAGGGAGGGGGCAGGACACACAGCTGCTAGGTGGCAAGGGCCACTCCCTGGTCCCAAAGGCCTGGTCTTCCTACCCTTGCAGGGCTGCCAACCTGGTCCCCACCTCACCCCCAGGCTCCTGTGGAAACAGAGGAAGGTGGAGGGCTGGGTATAAGGGGGGAGGGAAAGAAGAGGGGGACCAGTGGAAACAGCAGAGGTGGTTTAAGGGGCTACCTGTCTTGTCCCAGCCTCACTAGGCCTTGAGAGGCCGAAGAGGGGCAGAACCACCTCTGGCTCACCCAGGGCAGCCTGTGACCTCCCATCCCACACTGCAGTTCACCCACCACAGAGACACACCACCACCTTGACCCATGGCCAGACACACACAAGCACACCCACTTGTCAGATGCCCCAAAACGTGTGTTCATCACAGACCCACCCACCACAGGACATATACCTGCCCGTTCATCTGAGACACATCAGACCTTCACCTGTCCACAGAGCCCAAGCCCCCACAGCCACGGGACGATGTCCACGTGTACACACGCACATGGACACGTGCACACATATGAACACACACACACACCCTGCAGGGCCATATGCAGAAACACGTTACATGTTAACTGAAACCCAGAGATATATCAGACCCTCACCTGACGACGTGTACCCCCACCCCACCCACTGCAATGAGACACCCACATCCTACAGCCTCCAGTCCAAGAGACCCGCCCACAACATGCACACACACACACATAACCAGTGCACCCAAGCCAAGGGGCTCCCAAGACTCTCACCTGGCTAGAGGGCACAGATGTCCACACAGGTGTGGTGAAGTCACACACGCACACACACATGCACACACACTACCTTCTCCCACTCACACATACAGGCCCACTCCCCACCTCCTCACCCCAGCACCTCAGCCGGGGCCCCTGCACTGCTGCAGGTCCTCTTCCTGGCTAGGCCTTGGGAGGGGCCACCCTGGGGTCCCAGCCTGCGGGATGGGCCGTCAGGCCTTGCCGCTCAAAGGGGGAGGAGGAGGGCGCAGTTCCTGCTCCCCTCCTGCCCCCACCCCCCGCCAGTGCTTGCAGTAGCTGCTGCAATGCAGGCGCCGCCAGGCACCTCGTGAGCGGCGGGGCTGGGCTGGGGGCCCGACCCTAGGCCCTGGGGGTGACAGCAGCCTCTGGGCCAGGCTGCGGAGTGGGGCATGGGGGTCAGGCGCTGACGTCACCAGACGGGCGAGGCTGGAGGAAGGGGCGTGGGGGCGGAGTCGCCCCCCATTCCCACGCAGCCACCCCACCCCTGTCCCCACGCGGACCCCTGGGTCCTGGGACCCCAGGCAGGACGCAGGGCTGCCCCGATGACGTCATCGGTCGTAGGGGCGCCGGGACTTCTCTCCGCAGCCCTGCCCTGGGCTCGCCCCCTACGGTTATCCTCCCCCCGGACCCCAGCCCGGCTCCGGTCCCCCGCCGGCTCCGGTACCTCCTCGCGCAGCGGCTCGCCGTCCGGGATGAGCGCGGGCGCCTCCCCGCCGTCGCCGCCCTCGGGCATGGTGTCTTGGCTGCGTCGGCGGCCGCGGCCCGGGCCCGGGGCATGATAAGGGGGGCGGAGGGCTGTGGCGC